CCCTCCCTTCTTCCCTCCTTTCCTCCTTTAATGAGTGCACCTTACCTCCCAAGGGCTTACCTCCACAGGCTGGTGGACAGAGAAGCCAGCCAGGCAGTCTCTGTCCTGGGAGGGAGCAGCCGGTTCCCTCAAATGCCCGTGTCCTCAGGTAGGGGTGCAGGGCTGTGGGTGGGGAGAGCTCTTGGGGGTTGGGTTGTAGAGCTGGGTGTCGCGGGGTTTGTACAGATCCTGGGGCTGGGATGAGATTGGAAGTCACCTGCAGGAGGGTGAGCAGCACAGGCAGCCATCTTCCTCCCAGAGCCCTGGGGCTGCCCGCGGCATCACAGGCGGCTGCAGGGGGCGGTGCTGGAGGGGAGGCAGGGACTTGCTCCCAAGGTCTGAGTGGCCAGGGGTTTGGACCTTATCAGAGAGGGAATAGGAACCAGGAAAGCAGTTCAAAAGCAGGATTTTAGAAGCATGTCTTTAAAACCTTCCATGAGCAATGAGGGATTTAATCCAGACCAACTCGGTCACTGGCTGCCTGTGTCATGGAGAAGAATGTGCAATCGGGCGGGAGTGCCTGGCTCCTCTCACGGTGCTTTATGTGGGGGCATGGCCATGTCCATTCAGAGCCAGAGACGGGCCTTCCGGGGCAGCCCTAGCCTGTGTGAGGGCTTGTGAGTTTGGACACTTACTTGAGGAAGAGCAGTAATGTGAGAACAACCCTTAATATTCATGTGGGTCTGCCCTCACATTCGTCTAAGGAACCAGATGAGTACGTAGTTACCAGTGCAGGTGAGCATGCCACCCTCTGCAGGTGCAGCGAAGAGCCAGCACCAGGCTTAGGGGGAAAGTGGAGTCATTGCTCTGAGAACAAACCATTCATGACATAAAGATGAGTACTGCGAGAACGGGAGAGAACATGAGGACCGAGGGGTGAGCATCCATCACTGGGCGGGACCTGGGGTTCCGGTTGCTGCCTGGCTGCGCCCCCTGCAGATAGGAGCTGACTCAGGCCGGAGCCAACCTAGTCTTGCCGGCTCCCCTCCAGGCCAGGCAGCCGGCCTTGGAGCAGCTGGGCCCCTCAGAGCAGGCCCTCAGGTGGCCAGGCTGACCCTGCCTGCGCACCCTCCTGCTCTCCATGAAGATTCCACCTGGGGCCTCCCTTTGGCTCTACCCCTTCACGTCCCCACTCCTGATGCTTTTCCAGCTCCATGAAGAGGTGCTTCTGCTGCACCTTCTCCAGCCTCACTGATGCCAGCCTCACAGCTGCCCAAGGCTCCAGGAGGGAAGGCGTCCAAGTGCCTCTGTAGCCCTGTCCCCTGGGTTGGTCACTGGTGGCCCCGGGGCTACTTCCTTAAAGGTCCTGGGGATGGCAGGAGGGACATAGGGTCAATGAGTCGTGCGTGAGTCAGCATGCATCCCCTGTGCCAGGGAGAACGGCATGTTCTCCTGGGCTCTCCTCCATCCTCAGAACATCAAGGGGGCGTCTGACCCTAGGAAGTAGGGCTCAGGAGCGATCCAGCTGAACTGGGAGGCAACGTGGTGCCTGTGCTAGGCCATGCTCAGGTGTGTCCTGGGTGTGCCCTGGGCTGTCCTCAGGTGTGTCCTGGGTGTGTCTTGGGCCGTTCTCAGGTGTGTCCTGGGTGTGCCCTGTGCTGTCCTCAGGTGTGTCCTGGGTGTGCCCTGGGCTGTCCCCAGGTGTGTCCTTGGGTGTGCACTGGGCTGTCCTCAGGTGTGTCCTGGGTGTGCCCTGTGCCGTCCTCAGGTGTGTCCTGGGCAATCCTCAGGTGTGTCCTGGGTGTGCCCTGGGCGATCCTCAAGTGTGCCCTGGGTGTGTCCCGGGCTGTCCTCAGGTGTATCCTGGGTGTGCCCCGGGCGATCCTCAGGTGTGTTTAAAAAAATATATTTTATTGATTTTTTACAGAGAGGAAGGGAGAGAGATAGAGAGTTAGAAACATCGATGGGAGAGAAACATCGATCGGCCGCCTCCTGTGTGCCCTGGGCCATCCTCAGGTGTGTCCTTGGGTGTGCCCTGAGCACCATACTCGTGTGTGTCCTGAGTGTACCCTGGGCCATCCCCAGGTGTGTCCTGGGTGTGCCCTGGGCTGTCCTTCCGGGCTTTACAGACCCTGTGGAACAGGAAAAACCCAGAAGGAACACAGGAAAGAGGAGAAGGCAAGATTCAGCAGCTGAGGAGCCCCCCGGCCCCGCTCTAATCCCAGGGCCACGTGCTTGGCCAGTAGTTTTCCTTTTCTGGGAGCTGCAGGCTCTGCCCGGGGCACCTGGCCTGTCCAGCTTCCTCCAAACTTTGCTGGCTGCGAAGAGAAGGGGAGGTTGTATTAACCCCAAGAGCATCTGAAGTTCTCTCTCCAGTTCTCCAGCTTCCTGGATCTCTGGTACCAGTTTGTGCCTTTCATAGATTCTGAAACGACAATAGTCTATAGAGTCAATGTTTGCCAACGCAGCTGTGGCCTGACTGTGGCTAATGCAGACACAGGAGCCGTGTCAGGAGGTCCTCACAGGCAGCGGGAGGCTGCTGGTCCGTGGGGGCAAGGCTTGTTCAGAGGCTGGGCCCAGGCCCAGGACGGCGTCACGGAGCAGGGGCTGCTGGGGCAAGCCACTGTACTGGACGGCACAGCACCCGCCCGCCTCGGCACCTCTTCCTTCACCAGCTTCAAGCCTGCTGCCCTCGCTTGGGCCACGTCCTGCCCGTGGCGATAGGCTCGGGCCCTTTCAGCACTCTCCTTCCGAGAGGAGGTGAGCCCTGGCCTCCCCGCGGAGCGGCCCGGAAACATGGCAGTGAGCGAATACTGTCAGATGCACGAGTAACCACAGACACAGGAGACCCAGGCAAGGTCATGGGGAGAACAGGATCGGCCATGCTGAAGGGACTTAAGAAGATAAATTTTTACAAACTGTTGAAGGAGTTGGGGAAAGACAGTGTGTGCATCACACGTAGTTGAGCAATGAAAAGGCTCACAGTCTCCAGCTGCTTCTGCTAAGAGTACCCAAAGGTGCTCTCAACTCAGGATGGTCTCCCAACAGCAGCCGTGCGTGCGGCGGTGTGGGCTTCAGGTCACTGGCGTCTGTGTGCAAGTCATGAGTTAAGACAGGTGTGGAGAGTGTGGCTCTGCTCTCCCCGGGGGGCTGGGAGCAGGGAGGGACGCAGAAAGGCCGGTGAAGGCCGGCTGAGTCCTTGCTGGGTCAGCAGGCGGCTGTGCACTTGGCCGGAGGGTTCAGGCCAGCCCCTTAGGGCTCCCACTGACTGGCCCCTCCCCAACCGGCAGCCGCTGGCACAGCCCTTAGATCTGTGTGGTTTCTTCGTCTTTTTTCTTTGAAAACACATTAAGGACTTTCACATTGTGTGGGGTTTCTGACACTTGTACCAGGCGGGCCGCAGACGGTTCTCCCCCTGCGTGGGGGCGTCTCACACAGCCTGAGCTCGTGGGATGCTCGCCCCAGGCTGCGCTTGGCCTGCCCTTTGCTTGGAGTTTGACGTCAACGAGGTGTGGGCAGCAGGCATGACCTTGCCTGGCACACGGCACAGGCGCTGCTGGAAAAGGGACTGTGGCTTCCAGCACCGCACGGAGGGCGTGGCACCTCCACGGAACCAAGGAAGTCGACTGCACTGTCTGTTTCTGAGGAACTTCAAAGCAGTTTGATGTCCTTGGTTTATTCTCAACAAATACCCAAGTTATTTGAAAGCAAGGTCACATGTTCTCTTTTCCTTTCTTTCCTAAGCAAACAAACAAACAGACCAATTTTCTTGATGCCACTCACCATACGGAGAGACTCAGGGGTTAGGATCCCTCCCTCTCCACAGCCTCAGGCCTCAGGGTACCAGGAAGGTCGGCTGACCCTGGGAGTCCCTTTCTCTGCCACTCCCACCCATCACCCCCATCCCCAGCCAGGCCCAGACCATGAGCCTGCAGCACAAGGACACGCCCTCCTGGCATCCCCGGAGGTAGCTCAGGGAGAGCAGCCTTCTGGCACAGGTGCTTCCTGCTCCAGAAGCTGCCTCTGTATCTCTGCCCCGTGTTTCCAGGGTGTGTCCTGGGGAGCTCATTTGCCTTCCAGAACCCCAGCTTCTTTTATGTTGTGGGGAGGGGGGTGATTACGCATCTTTTGAGCATCATGAACACGGTATGCAAATGCACGGGCACATTGGGAGCTAAAGGGCTATTCTCTTTGGCCCCATCAGATAACACCCTCCTGTGTCTCCAGTCCTGCAAGCATCTTCCCCCAGGTCGCTGGGTGTGACGGCAGTGATCCTAACAAGTGGGAAGGGAGGCGCACTGCCCAGGCTGGCTTGTGGGTTTTTGCGACTAGGGACAGTGTCCTAGGGACAAGTCCCCAGCTCGCCAAGGGCTGGCCCTGCAGCCGAGGGAGGAGGGGAAATGGGCATGCTCACCACTGTCCACAGGCCCTGGAGGCCAGGGTCTGCAGCCTCCGAGAGCTGGAGAAAGCCAGCCGGGGCTCCTGGTCGTGTTCCCAGAAAGGGGCCTGGCCCTGAGCCGTCTGCCTGGGGTCAGCCGGCCGGTAGCATGTGGGTTCTTGACTTTGTGCAGGAAAGTTTTCACAGCACGAGCCCAGGTGACTGTGAGGCAACGTTTATTAAAGCCGGGACGGAAAACAAAGGGTTTCCAATAGAAGAAGCAACAGGGGCTCCCCGCTGGGCTGCTGGCCCTCTGGGGAGTCAGAGAAAAGGGGGTCTTGGGGTCAGGTGGAGGGGACTAGCCTGGGAGGAGCTGCCACTGCCCATTGCTCCCCAGGTTGCAGCCTCGTGGGGTCCCTCAGAGCAGAACTGCTTGGCTGTGGGGAAGGAGAAGGGGTGGCAATGGCGGCGGCTCCCTGGGGAGAGCGCTGGGTCCTTTGTCTTGGGGGTTATTTCTCTCGCAGGCAGGAATCTGAGGGGAGGCCTGGGGTGGGTTCCAGCAGAACACTCACCATTTTCCAGGTGGGCTCCTCCAGGGCCTTGGTGGCCACCGATGGGTCCGTGCCAGGGCAGGGGTGTCAGGCATCACAGCTCTTCCTGGTGCCGCCCACCTGGTTTTGCAGCTTTTCTGGGCCTGGAGCTGAAATACAGCCCAGGTGTCATCTGTGGGAGATGTTCTCTGCGGGAGGGGCCTGCGGGGACTGCTCTGCGGGGGCTCAGCCAGGGCCTTGGCGCCCTGCCCCCGCCTGGCTGCGGGCCGTCAGGGAGCTGGGGGCTGGCTGACCTCCCTGTGCTTCCCTCCAGGACAAGGAGGTGAACCTGGAGCAGGTGCATCGGCGCATGAACAGCCTCCTGGATGAGGACGTCGCTCACAAGCAGATCTCCCCGGCGTCCATCGAGCTCTCGGCCCTGGAGATGGGGGGGCTGGCACCTGGCCAGGCCCTGGAGCCTACACGGGAGTACCCGAACCCCCAGATCTCAGTCAGCACCTTTCTTCCAGAGCAGAGCGGCCACGGCCCCGGCCGGACACTCACGGCAGGGCCCAGCGGCCTGCCGCTGCCACTGGGCGGCTCGGCCACCATGCCCACTGTGCCCTGCAAGCACAGGTCGCCCAACGGGGGGCTGTTCCGCCAGAGCCCGGTGAAGACCCCCATCCCCATGGCCTTCCAGCCCGTGCCCGGGGGCGTCCTCCCCGAGGCCCTGGACACCGCCCACGGCACCTCCATCTGACCAGCCTCCGCCCTCCCGCCGCACACCCACCCGACCAGCAGAGCTTTTTAATACGAGGAAACCACACACAAACACACACACACACACACACGCACACACACACGGACACACACACGCACACGCACTCGTTTTTCTTGTACATACCTGTAAATAATGACAGAATGGAGTGGGGTAAAAGTGTATTTTGAATATTCCCAATTTTCGAAGTCAGTAAAAAAACCACAAAAACGGCGTGAACGACTTTGTAAATTTTGTTCTATATGAATAAAAAGGCAAATTCCTTGTGATCGTTCTGAAGTGCCAGAGAAGCGGGGCCTGGCCTTCCTGAGGGCAGGAGGGTGGGGTGCAGGGCTGCAGGGAGGTGGGGGAGGTAGGGAAGGAGTTGGGGGGGGTGCCGGCCCCAGAAGCCCATGCTGCCAACCGGCTCTGTACCTCCTCTGCGGGCTCCTCTCAGGCCTCAGGCAGGTGAGGGGCCCGGGCGCCTGGGCCTGGCCGACGCTGTGCGATGGGGACTTGGGGCCAGGGCAGGCCGGCTGGGCACCCACCACTGCATGTGTCCTGGGCTGCGCCGAGGAGAGGAGCGCCATGCGAGGGGCTGGTCCCTGAGGGCTTTGGAGCCCTGCGCTGTATATTGGCCTTGGTTCTTCTTGGTTTTCTCACTTAGAAGACTCAACAAAGAGCAGGAGGGATGGGGAGCCCCACCCTGTCTCACAGGGGTGGGCGGGAGGGGGGCGCAGGGAAGAGGGGAGAGGACCCGAGCGCCAGTGGGCAGCAGCCTGGCCTTCGAGGAGTGATGGCTGGTGAGGTTAGGACCCGGGCTCTCACCTGCAGGGAGGTGAGCCACAGCCCAGGCTGCCTCTGGGGCTGCCACCAGGAGCACAGTCTGCTGCACAGAGCCCACGTGCGTCCAGGCCCTGCTTCACCTCTTATCGCACCCGGAGCCTTCCAGCAGCGATGCAGCTCCCAGCAGGCCGGCCGCCAGCGCACAGTGCAGGACCCAGGCCCATCCTGTGGCGGTGGCCTGCTGCTTCCTGCTTCCAGCTGGAGGCCTGGCAGCAGCCCCTCCTTCCCTTTCTGGGCAATCAGACATAGAGCCAGTGAAAACTAGGAGCAGCTGCCACCTCAGTGGGTCCCTTCCTCTCCTGCTGCAGACCAGGAGCTGCTCTGCTGACCTGCAGGATGGGACGGAGGCAGCCCAGCCACCATGCGGACGGCCGCCCCAACAGCACTCGGGGATGCCAGGAATACAAAGTCCTGTTGATGCCTCCCCTATGGCCTGGAGGCTTCCTCCCCAGATGGATGTATGAGGGTCGGTTTCTTCCCCAGTCCCGAGCGACCAGAAGAGCAGGAAGGAATGGTCTCATTGTTACAGAAAACCGTAGAAGAACAAAGCAACGATTAGAGAGATGGAGTTACATTTATTATTACTCGTGGGCCCAGAGGAAAATGTCTCTAGAATTCTGAGCGAAGTCACACAGGAAGTTTCCTGTATTTATACCTTTTTACCCCCTTTGTCTCCCAAATATGGTGCTTTCCAGTCCCCTTTGCAAGTTCTTAAAGGGCCCTATGTGCTGGGGCTTTGAGACCTCGACCAAAGGGTTGGCCCTGTCCCAGCACTGATAACTTCGTCTGGGGAGGTTTAATGGCCTCTCTGAAGTGGGAGTAGTCTCATTTTCCTTTTATTTAAGCCAGCATCTACAGAAGCCAGAATGCAGGGTTAACATGTCAAACAGCAGTTTTCATGTACGATGGATGCTTCAGCATCACATGTAGCGGAGAGCGGCCTGGCGGGGGTTCATAGTCGGGCTGTTGGACTCCGATGCTCAGGGCCTGACACCAGTGCTCCCAGGTGGCCCTGGCATTTATCCCATCAGAGCGTAGGAGGGAGCGGTGCACACCAGGTGCTGGGGGCCTGCCCGGCTTACCCCGAGGAGCAGCTCCACGCCTTTCCAGCAGCACGGAGGCCTGCTCAATGGTCAGTGATTCATCTATTTTTTTAAATCAAATCGTGGTCTCACTGCCGTATCTCTCACCCACATGGGTTTCCTAGAAGGGTATTCCCTTCTAGGGAATACCATGGTCTTTTTCTTGGGCAGCTTTGCTTAGGACGGTTTCAGGGAGAGGAGAGAGATGACTCACATGGTGTGTGTGTGTGTGTGTGTGTGTGTAAGAGAGAGAGTGCACTTCTCTCATGGTGTGATTCTGCACCAGGTTTATGCTATTTTTAAACATTTCTTACCCTTGGCATGAGAGAAAATGACTGACTTCAAGCAAGTTCTCTAGGAAAAGAGATCTCCCATCTCAGATTTGTGTCTGCTCAGAATGTATCACTTTTTCATGCTTTGCTCTTTGGATTGATAATTGTGGGCTAGTCCATACAATGTAGGCATATTTTGTGCCTTCAGACATTGCAAATAACAGTCGGCATTTGGATTCAAGTTGTTTGATAATAAAACCTGGCTTTCTCTCTGCTCTCCTCTGGTGAAGAAGTGCTGTCTGTCGATGCTGCTTGCTGTGGCCGGAACGGGTCTGTCCACTGCTGCGGCCAGTCCTCAGGACGGGGCTGACACTGGCTGCGTTGGGCTGGGATCTGCCTCTGGCCAGGACACCCAGGCACAGGGTTTACCTTTGAGTCTCACTGTCCCTCATATTAATGACACTAACACCGACCCCGACCAAGAACTCCGCCATCTGCGCAGCGGGTGCTGAGCTCCCCTGTCATGGCCTCTGCTCCTGTCATGTCCGCCCAGGAAGCTGCTGGGAAGCCGGGGCTCGGAGAGAAGCCTGACCCACGTGGGCTGCGGAGGAGGCGTGTGGGGTCCAGGTGGGCAGAGTGCGGAGCCCATGCTTCTGCCCAGGACCCAGCATTAGCGCCTCGAGGACCATGTGGGCGCAGGCTGAGACCCTCTGTGCTTGCCTCGCTGGCAGCTGGGGGCGGGGTCAGGACCTGGACTAGACAGATGCCAAGTGTGACTAGAATAAGGGATAGTGGTTTCCCCTTGGGTCTCGGTTTTCCAGGGTGTGACCTTGAACTTGAGGTAGAGAATGCACTTATAGCACTGGGGCCCTGACTGCCAGATGCTGTTTCCAGTTCTAAGCTCTCCTGTGCCAGGAGCCTCTGGATCCAGGAGACCCCAGGCCAGGCCGGTCCTGGCCGAGCCCTGCACTTGCCCCTCCCCTGTGGAATGGGTCCCTTGCCCCTCGCCCCTCGCCCCTCGCCTGTGGAATGGGTCCCTTGCCCCTCACCCCTCCTCTGTGGAATGGGTCCCTTGCCCCTCGCCCCTCGCCCCTCGCCTGTGGAATGGGTCCCTCGCCCCTCGCCCCTCGCCTGTGGAATGGGTCCCTCGCCCCTCGCCCCTCGCCTGTGGAATGGGTCCCTTGCCCCTTGCCCCTCGCCCCTCGCCTGTGGAATGGGTCCTGAGCCCTGAACCCTGAGCTGTTGTGAGGACCAGCCATGATGCAGGTAAGCGCCTGGGCACTTGCACCCTCACCAGTGGCAGGTCTTGGGGTGGCCTGCATCCCTACAGCATCCTACTTCTTGGTGGCAGCTGCTGAGCCTCTGAGCTTACCCACCGCCTCACCCGCAGTCACATGGCAGCACTAACTCCAGCCGGCAGCGAGCAGAGTGCCGGGGCAGTGAGAAGCAGCTTCCATTTCGCCCAGCACTGAGGTACTGTGTACCTGCCCGCCCCCCGCCCCCGCACCCCAGGAGCTGCTAGTGTGGCAGCCCTGGGTCTGTTACTGGGGCAACCCTGGGGCAATGGTTCTGATTGTTCCCAGAAACGGGAGAAGCCCCGAAGGCAGCCTGGCTCCCAGGGGCCTGGCTTGAGGGCGAGCTGTCCAGTCAGCGCCCTCAGCACAGGGCTTGTGCTGGTGAGGAAATGGGACAGGAGCAGCCGGGGGTGGGGAGCAGCTGGTGCAGGGGGGGCTCGGCAGCTGCAGGGCACTGAGGAGCCGCAGGCTTTCAGCTGGCGGGTGAAGGGCACATCACCTGTGCCATGAATCTCGGGACCTTCAGTGGCTTCTTGGGGTGGCAGCTCTCTGCTTCTTGAAGTGACACCCTAGTTCCTCATGTTTTGTAGAAAAAATAGACCCATGATTTTGAGCCACAATGGGTATGTGTGCTGGTAACTTTACATTTACTTGTGCCTGTTTTTAGCTTCTGCCACCACCTGAGTCTGAACCGCACCCCAGCAACCTGCGGTCTGGGCCAGGTTGTCTCAGGAGAGAAGGTGCTCTGTGTGCAGGAGGAAAGGACAGCTCAGCAAGGCCCTGCAGTGGGCAGGAGGGACACTGACCAGATTCTGAGGAGGGCTGTCCCCGAGGGAGGCCCTGGGCAGAGCAGCGGTGGCTGTAACAGCAGTGCACTCCCATGGAGGCAGGGGCTGCCACAGGCCCGCCAGGAGGGAGCCATCTGATAGGGCTCTGAGAGAGAGGAGGAGAGGATGGTGGGGGAGGGGGAGACGCTCACTCTGCTCTCACTGTCCCCTCCCCTCGTGTCCTCTCCAACCCCAACAGCTGCGCAGGGAGCCCTGGAGAGTGCTCACCCTGACCAGCCTCCTGGGACAGAAAGCAGGTGGAGAAAATGAAGAATGGCTGTGGGGTGTGAGGAGGAAGGGAAACAAAACACACTTAATGTAGCTGGTGCCGAGAAGTCGAGGGGTTCCCATGGGTTATGTGCTCATCATGTCCTGGGAGAATTATCTTTCCGTATCTCATTTCTTACCTCAGAAAATGAAGAAAAGATGTTTGACAAATGAGGGCGATGAGACTCAGGGCGTTTCAGTGGTTTGCTCCAGGTGGTCCCGCCGGTCTGCGGGCCTCAGTAAAGCCCATGCCCCGCAGCAGTGAGTAGACACCTTCAGGGCCCGAGGATTCTGCAAACTGTGGTGAAGGTGGCAGAGTGGGCTGCATGGCATCTGGAGAAAGCACTCGATTGTTTTCCATGGTCAGGGCAGAGTGCCTGTACCCAGCAAAATTCTAATTGGTTTGTTGGAGCCAGTCTTGGGAGTGGGTCCCCCAAGAGGACCAGGCGGGGAGCTAGGAGGCCAACGCTGGAATCAGAAAGTGTGCTGTTGACGTCCAGCTCTGCTCTTTTCTCCCTGTCTGTCCATCAGGCACAGCCTCCCTGAGCCTCGGCTCCCGCATCTATGAACGCAGGACAGTGAGGGCAGCAACCCCCTCACGAAGGGTGAAGTGAGAAGACGGGAAGAAAGCCTCTGTGGGTAGAA